CGTCGAAGAGCAGCATTTTGTATTGTTATGTAAAAATCTACTTTAGGTTTTTGCACTAACTTAATATTGTGGATGTTATTACAAAAAATACAAACTAAATTTTCTTCGGTAAGTTTTCATTTAAGAAGAGGTACGGAAAAAGACATTTTAAATCCATTCACATTTTTTTTAATAACACAATAATATAATACCCTTTTAATGGGCATTAAACAATAGTCTTCCTAATGATCGATTAAGTAATAACAAATCAAGTATGAGCGCGCGATTGTTAAACAGGTAAAAACTTGAATTTTTGCGATAGTATGTTGTTTTTAAACACCGCGCAATTTAAAATTAAGTTTACTAATATTAATATTTACTGCATTGTATTATTTAAATAATAATTTAAAAATATTATTTACAATTGATATAAATAAATATATACTCAATAAATAATAATTATATTATTCAAATTTGGAAGAAAAAAAAACTATATACGGTTATTACATTGCGATGATTGATTTATTTAATTAGCCCAATGACAATAATTAATACCTACATAAATAAATTATGGAAAAAACTATGTTAATAAACTTCAAGGATTTGTTCGGGTTTTTTTGCGTAAGTGTATATGTAAACTATGCATACGTACGATAAAAGCGCACTCCAGCGCGCCGCGCCGGCTGAAAAATCGAGTGTACGCGCATATTTAACAATTAAAAAACAACGGTCTAAATTAAAATAAGCCCCGATTACTCTTCAAAATCTTGAAGTTGAATGTTTAAACTTCAATTTAGACACTTGGTAACCTCAAAAATAATAATTTACATATGTGTTTTCAAGCCTCAAAAATGCGTATTTTCGCGTTTTTTCAGACTTTAAATCGCTTATAACTCGAAAACTATCAACTTTAGAGAAAAATGACAAGAGACCTTTTTTGTTTAAAATGACCCAAAAAACCTAAAAAAAACGTTTTCCAGATTAAAAAAAAATATTTTTGGATTTGTTTAAAAAAAATTGTTTAAACAATTTCTGCCCAAAAATTTCGCCCGGCACCCTTCAGATTTGTTTAAAGGGGACATTTTTGAACCGGAAACCGCGAAGAAACCGAATCAGAAACATTTTCCCAACGGGAGCGGCCTCACAGCCTGGACTAATAGTATTTACTTAGTTTTGACTTACGCTTTATCCGATTTAATGAATGTTATCAAAGTTAATAATTTTTATAATTTTTGACTATTATTAAAAATCTATGACTACAACAGCTTGTTGCTTTTGTCACCCTTTTTAATTACACAGAGTGTTAAACTTGTTACGATTTTCAGTGATATTTAATTATAACTTTTTAAATACTCTATATAACACAAAAAAAAACTTTATATTCTTGTAACTAGGAAGTGAAGCGGATGTTAAATTTATAATCTTTGACACCGTATAGTGTTATGGAAGACCCTGTATGTTTGTAACAAATTTTAAAATGAAACTTACGATTGTCTCCTATTTTTGAAATTAACTTTTCGTAATATATCAGACTAACTATAGATAATAACATATCGTTAGTTCAAAATTATACTGTTGTATGTAACATTTTTGCAAAATCGGTTTTATGGTATTACTAAGTCGTATGTGTCTTAGACTTTGCTTCCAGAGAATTTTAGTATTCTATATCATATCCTGTGAGTTTGGCAACCAGAAATACATAGTTCTATTACGATGAATTTTAATTATTAAAGTTGTATGTATCAGCTACACCTCGGCAACTCTATAAAACTGTTTGATTTAGAGTAACTTAGTTGTATGTTTCACATACAACTTTGTTACAACAGTAGTTTGTTATTACAGATATATGTATGAACAATTGAAATAACGGGAAACTATAAACTTGTGTGTATTTTTGCATCGAGCAAATAGACAAAAGAGGGAATGTAAAGGTGGTGGGGGCAAAAATATTGTTAGACAGGAAGTGAGATCTTTAGAGGCCATCAAATTTAGTTGGGTTATGTTATTGTTTGTCCCAAATGTCACATTTATATTGAAGTTCTTCTTATTTATATTGAATAATCTTATTTATATTGAAGTTTTTTAACAATTGTGTCGCATTTTAGACTATTACCGTTAATAATTAATTAAAACTTTCTCGTCTAAGACACATTCTATAAGTGTCGGAAAATTTAAATTTAGCGCATTCGCATTTCCGGATATGTCCGCCATCAGAGGCCACTTTTTTGGTCTCCTTTTCATAAGGATTAGATTCCCTCTTTTCTCTTTTTGCTCGATGACTTTTTTGTGAGTAATCGATTAAATTGATTGATTAAATTGTTTCTGAACAATTTAATTAATTTATATTTCTAAAATAAAGAGTAATTGTAACTTGAAATACCAAAAATCAAAAAGTGAGGTTAGTTTTTATCTTTTCAGAAAAATGTTTTGCCTAACTTTTGTGACTTTTAGGTTCACCCTTATTTTATTTGTAATGGATTGCAAATTGGCTAATGCGAATTCAGATTCTAAAAATGAAAACTTAAAAGATTTAGAGTACGTTTTTCTTTATTTATTTTATATGGTAAGGTATTTTCAAACAAATTTAATTATTTTAGCACAGTTCGAAAAATAGAAGTACATGGTTTCACTGAAACTATAGATAATATATACCCTACTGACGATGAAAATGAAGAAACTGACATATCTCTTGGATGTGAAGACTTCATAGATTGCCATGGTTATGATTCAGATAGGAACAGGGAGTATGTACCACCACCTGTTTGTGGAGAAGACTCTAGCGATTCTAATAGCGATGCTGAAAAACCCATTGTTGCTACAGTTGCAAATAGAACCGAAGGTGTGACTACTCAAATCGAGTTATCCAAAACACCAACTTGCAAAAGACAGAGGAACCCAAGTACTCGGAAAAGTAGTATTAGAAAAGCGGCACATGACGCAGGAAAATAATACATATCTGTTAGAAGAAAAGTTGTTCCAGCCAAAAAAATAAAAACAATAAACGACTATACATCTAAGTGTTTGTATAAATGCCAGCAACTTATTACAGAAGATGAAAGGGGACAGATTTTTCAGCGTTTTTACACTTTAACAGAACATGCAAAGAGATTATTTCTATTAGCAACTTCAAAAAAATTCATTGTAGAACGACATAGAAAAAATAAAAATGATCAAAACAGCAGAAGAAAACAGACATTTAATTATTACTTTCAGATAGGCAGTCGAGAAATTCAGGTCTGTAAAACCTTTTATTTGAGCACCTTATCAAGCAATCTAACCCTGTTTGAGAGCTGTATACACAGCTCATTTGAAAAAGGACATTATTTCAAATACACCTAATATACCTGCCCAAGGAAAACACATAAAATATAAGATACCTGATGAAGATGTCAATTTTGTTAAGAAACACATAGAATCATTCCCTGCAGTAGAATCTCACTACTGTAGAACTAATACAAAACGACGGTACTTACAGTCATCTTTGAGTATTAAAAAAATGTATAATCTTTACTCCGAACTTTATAATGAATCCAATAAACAACCAGTAAAAGAGTCTTTTTATCGGCAACTAGTTTGCAACGACTACAATATTTATTTTCATGTACCTAAGAAAGATCGTTGTGATCTATGTGAAGATCACAACGTAAAGAAACAAAAGGAAGGTATATTATTGGAGGCTGAACAATCAACAATGTATGATCAGCATATACAAGCAAAGAATGCGGCTCGTGAAGAAAAAACGAAAGATAGAGAAACTCACAATAATTTTTTGGTGTTTGACTTACAAAATGTCCTCATGCTGAAGTAAGTAACTTTTATTATACAAGTAAGTTAAATGTTTACAATTTAACTGCAATATTATCCAAAACGAAACAAGTGTACTGTGCCTTGTGGAGTGAAGCTCTTATGGGTAGAAGTGGCAACGATATAGCAAGTGCATTGATCAAAATTCTAGAAGCTGTCTTTAAAGATCATCCCAATATGAAAACCATAGTATTGTGGAGTGATAGTTGTGTACCACAAAACAAAAGTTCTGTGATGTCTGCAGCGATTGCGTCCTTTCTAAAAAAGAATTCAAACATCGAATCTATAATAATGAAGTTTTCAACTTCAGGTCATTCGTGTAATCAAGAGATATATATTATAGATGCAGTTCACAGCTGCATAGAGAGAGTTTTAAAAAAAGCAGAGTATTATTGTCCGTTATCTCTTTTACGGTTGCTGTTAAAAATGAGTTCTAGAAAGCCTTACAAGATAATGCAGTTGAAATAAAACGATTTTAAGGACTTCAAATCGTATGCTCTGCAATATAACTACAAGATTATACCATTTACTCAATTAGTTGCATTACAATTTTCACAATCCATATTTGAAATGGGATATAAAGTGAGTCACGCACATAGTGACTGGAAGAAAGATCATGAATCGTACTAGAAGTAACTGCGAAAAGAAAGAATTTATCAAGGAACCAACTCGTTCATTAGTCACAAGATTACTTCCCCAAAACAAAGTTCAGGCCATCAAAAGTATGTTTAAGTGGATGCCAGAAGTGGATAAAGCTTATTATACATCTATACTCCCCAAAAACAATATGTAATAATGTATGGTGTGTATACCATGTAAACATAACTTTATAAACACGTTTTTTTATCTTTTTCTGTAAAGTTATAACCATATATTTCACAATTATTTTCATCACAAAGTTGTATGTTAGTATATTCAATAAAAAAATGCAATTACATAGTTGTATGTGTTTTTTGTTTTGCAAAAATTTCGAGAAAAACATTGTTTTTCATATTCTTCGTCTTCTAAATATAAATAAATACATCTATACTAGCAAACTATAAAGCGATACAAAACTAGGTGTACCCGTTTCTCCGTTACAGTGAAGCATTTTTTGTTTTTCATTTTTCTCAAAACTTAGTTTACTGCACATACAACAGTATAATTCTGAGCTAACGATATATAACAGCTTTTGTAACAAAAGTTGGTCACTCTGTATACATATTTTTTGTTTTCAGGTTGGCATATTTCCATCCAACTTTGTCGCTCATCAAGAACCCTCTCAAGATTTTTCGGATCATTACAATAACATTATAGCAGACATAGATCCTGTGAAAATAGATTTTTCCGAATTAGAACTTGAAGAAGTGATAGGTATTGGCGGATTTGGTAAAGTGTATCGTGGTATCTGGAAAAACCGTGAAGTAGCTGTAAAAGCAGCTCGTCAAGATGCAGATGCGGACGCTACGGTTACACTCGAAAATGTTATCAAAGAAGCAAAACTCTTTTGTTTGTTGTGTCATGAAAACATTGTGTCGTTAGAAGGAGTTTGCCTACAAGAGCCAAACCTCTGTTTAGTATTAGAATACTGTAGAGGCGGCTCTTTAAATCGTATATTGGCAGGTCGAAAAATTAGGCCTGACGTGTTAGTGGATTGGGCGGTACAAATTGCTAGAGGTATGGATTACCTGCACTGTAGAGCTCCTATATCGCTTATACATCGTGATTTAAAGAGCTCTAATGGTAAGTACGGTAATTCAAATTATGTAATGTTCAAAGTTTATGTAAAAATATATTAATCTTAAAAATACGTCTAGCTTTTGATGACATTTCTACATATTTTATGTTTTTCGCCATTTGTATTACTTCTTGCCAAGATTTAACCTTATTTTGTAATATCTATCTGCTACATTCACTCTTTTATTGGTCTACACTTTCTGTTTTTCACTATAGTTTTCTACTCCGTATATTCACGTCCTATATATTGTTTCATATCTTATCATCTTCGTTTTTCTTGACATTTGTTTCTTGTTGAGGAATCCTCTATTTATTGCCTGAAAAAGTTTTACTCTACTCTCTGGTCTCTTGTTGAAATCATCATCGATGGTTCCTCTGTTATTTATTTCTGATTCCTGGTGTTTGTATATGTTTGTTTGCTTTATTTTTGTTGATCTATCACTTCGATTAGGTCTTCCTTGCCTTTTTTCCTTAATATTTTCATTATCTGTGTCTTCCCTTTATTTACATTTAACTTTGCTTTCAAGGTCCATTTTTTTGAATTGTACGTTTTAAATCTGTTGTTTCGGCAAATAGTACTATGTAATTTGCAAATACGTATATTTCTGTATTTATCATTTGCGTTCTATTCCATCCTATACAGTATTTTTTAAAGATTTTCTTACATTCTTTCACTATATCATCTATTACATTTATAAAAAGTACTTGGTTTAAATTTCCTCCTTGTATAACGCCTTTCGTTTTTTTTTAATTGTTGCTATTGCATGTTTTGTATTCCTATTGTATTTATTGTTTTCTTTTAGTTGCTTCTATCAGGCCGTCGCGTACTTGTGACTTTTTCAGGCTCTCACATTTAGTTTTTCATTCGATTGAACCGAATGGTTTTTTCTGTAAAACGTATGTATACTGCTGTATTTTTTAAGGCTTTTTCTTTTATCTATTGCATGGCAAATTTATGGTTTTGTATGTTATGTCCTTTTCTGAATTCGCTTTGTACGTACACTTTACGTTCTATTTTAATTCTGATTTTTCTTTCTATTGTTATTTCGTATAGTTTTGCTGCTACACATAATAGGGATGTGCCTCTATATTTCTGACAGTATCTTGTATTTCTTTCTTCTGCACTGATACAATTATTACATTTGACCATTTTCTAGGCAATATTTTTTCTTCCATATTAGATTTGGGATGTATAATAATCTTTTCTTTGCTTTTTCTCCTATATATTTTAACATTTCTGGACTAACTTCATCTCTTCCAGGAGCTTTTCCAGTCTTTACTCACTTATTGCTTCCTCTAGTTCTTCTTCTTGTATGGTTTGTTTTCTGAGTATTGTCCTCCACCCATTACGTTGTTTTAATTTTTCTTTGCTTTTTCTCGCTCTTCATTCAACAAATGTTTAAAATGTTCCCTATATATTTCCATTATATCCGTGTGGTCGGTTAGTATTGTTCCATTTTTGGTCGTTATTTGTTTAAGCTTTATTCTCTTAGTTGCTTCGTAGGGTTTTCAGTGTTCTATATAACAATTTTATATTCTCTTTGCTGCTTTTTTTAATTTTATTCTCCGAACTTGTCCCAGATTTTCTTTTTCTCATATTTTGACATGATTTCTTGATTGATTTTTTTTTATTTTTGATTTGATTTGATTTTGATTTCTTTAATTTTTATTTTCTGTATATTGTATCTTTAATAGTTTTGTTGATTTTTATCTTGCATGTATTCTTTTAAGAGTTTCTTCTTTTTTTGTTTCGATTTTTATCTCTTAATTCTGCCTTTCTCTTTTCTATTGTTTTCAACCATTTTACGGCATTAAAAAAATGCTGAAAACGAAAGTTACCAACTGGAAGTACTGTTTTAAAGTCGCCGAAATAGTACCAGCGATATATTATTCGACGTGCCTTAGCAAGATATGAAAAAATATATACTTCCGGTTTTCGGAAATCGTATATCAATCGACAAGTTACATGAAGAGTTCAAACATCGACTTACTGTTCTACTTCCGGTCAAGTTGGGTGAAAACCTATGACTTGGTAATAACGAAGTCCAATTGCTTGATATTTCTTGTGGTCCCAGATACTAGTTTCGCTCTTGGGCCAGACAGATATGGTGCCAATGTCGATAAGCATTGCATCTGCATTACCGATCGAGCTTTGTCAAAACGTGAACCTTAGCCAAAACCGGAACTATTTGGCAGCTGACGGGTAACAGGTGTACAGGTAAAAGTGTTGATAAAAAGGGTGTAGCCAGAAAATTCTTTTCATTTGCGACGTTTTAGGATTTACTGAATATAATGGCATAGAAAAATCAAAACATGACGATCGTCAAAACAATATAGAGACACATTCCCCTAGAGCGGCAGAGAAAAATGATGCAAAGCAGTTCCTGCATCTCTTTCTAATAGACGGGGTTTATCTCCCACATGACCGTCCCACTACCAAACACAAGTGATGTAGCAAAATTACTGTATTCGATAGAGATTAAAACGCTAACAAATGGTCAGATATATTGAGCGCTTGGTCAGTTTGTTTTTGCGGTGAAAATAATTATTAAAGTTGCAAAAACCCTAGCACACACGTGCAGTCCATTAAAAATTTTAAAAATACCAGGATTGCAGTTCCTTGCGAGAATAAACATTTTAAAAATACTAGGAGAATAGTACGTTCCCGCGTTTTTCTAAATTACCATGTTACAGTATTTCTGAAATATAATTATACCACCTGAAAGGTTACAAATTGATCTCCAATAGTCCGTTATTTCGAGGTTATTTCGAGAAATTGGTCAGTTCTATGTAATTTCTTATCAAGTATTGAAAAATTTTGAAGGGCAGTTGATGTTAGTTTCTCATCCAAATCTTACGTTTTTACAGAACACCAAGTCTTACATCGTTGCGTGATTTTGAATATGTGTTGAATTGTAAGTTTTCACCCAGGCGCATTCTTTACCAACTTGTTAATATCTAGACAGTGTAACAGTTGTTAATGATAATACTAAATGTAATATATTTCTTTGTTTTGGATATTGGGACGCGATTAATACAAATATATTCCAACGGGATTAACTTGGCTGATAGGTTTGGCAAATATGCATCTTAACACACATGCTCTCAAATATACACCGTTGTCGCGTCTAAAAGTTAGTTTTTTCGTCTATCATTGTTATATTTTTGTAGAATACCAAATTTATAATTCTTAAATCTGATCTGATTTTTATGCAGTCATTTTACTTATTCTTTTATTAGAATAAATGTAAAAAAATATTACTTAGACGCACAAATTCACAGCAGCTGTAATTAAGAAAATTGCTAAGAGTCATTAAAGATTCTGGAAATTCTCAAGCGTTCTGAGACATACAGTGTTCTGACTCAAGTACTCTGCGACTGTTTTCTGTTAAAATATTGATATGAATTAAACAAAATTTAAATATTAGCGCCATATATCATTTACAGGAAGTTAAGATTGATACAAAATAAACTATCAATCGTATTCACTTATGGAACAAAATCTTAACCGTATACTCAACTGGTTCGTTTCATTTATAAGTTTTAACAGGTTATAGTGACCCAGACCATTTTTCCGTCGGTAAATAGATAAACGTTGTATACTAGTAAGTGTAAAGCTATTAGGCCGCGAAAATTACAATGATTGGGTTTCGCAGTGCAAAATTATCTTGTTTTAGAAGGTTTGTCCACGTGATTGGAAGGAACTGAAACCGACGTAGACAAACAAGAAAAATCTAAAGCTAAGTTAGTTCTTTTGCTTGATCCATCATTATATATACATATAAAACAAGCAAAAATCGCTAAAGAAATTTGGGACGCTTTAAAAATTGATGACTTGGGGTACGTGAGAAAAATCAGTTTATTGGGAAGTCTAATTTCAACGCGATTGGAAGATTGTAGTTCAATGGCATGTTGTGTGAACCAAATACATAGTTGAAAAATGACAAAAATTGAGTTGAACTGGTTTTCGGGATTGTTATTTCTACCGATTCAATCAAAACAAAAGTATCGGACATGGAAAGTGATGTTGGTAAGTGCGTTTGCAAGTGCTACTAGTAACAGAACCAATTACAACAGACAGTTTGAAAATCACAGAAGTAATAAATAACAAGAGAGATAGAGATCTTTCGAAAATTAAATGTTATCGTTGTAAACAAACCGGTTACTATGAAAATAAATGTCGGAAAGTTAAAACATCCGAAAAACATGCGTTTAGTGCCGCTTTCCTCACTGGATACTTAAAAAAAACTGAATTCACAAATGAGGATTTCGGTTGTTAAAAAGGCGTGGTACCAAAGATGAAATAAAAACAGCAAGCGCTCAACGCTACTGGTTTAAAGTGTCAGTTGTGTGAGATTTTAAAGCGTCGATAGATAAAATAATATACATATTATCACTTGTCAAACCAGTGTCATTGCGACTCAAGCGCTCAACGCTACTGGTTTAAAGTGTCAGTTGTGTGAGGTTTTATGCGTCGATAGATAAAATAATATACATATTATCACTTTTCAAACCAGTGTCATTGCGACTTTACTCTATTTTACTTTATTTTTGATAATTCGCGTTTTTAACAGCTGGTAATCCTAATTTGTTACCATTTTTCTCAGCCAACCTTATATCATTATATTAAGAAAACATTAGCTTTGATTTGATATAAAAAAATGAAATGCTTATACGTCATGAACAGCTTATTTTATATAAAAAATAAATTAGCCAAATAGAATATTTGTTAAAAACTACTTACTTTTAATTTAACTAAACAATTTTTCGGTCACTCTTTGATGAGTTGTGTGTGTGTGATGTGAGTTTGATGAACTACGTTATGAATGTAGTGATTCTTGTACTATAACTTGGTGTTTAAGTTAAAGTGCAATAGCGAAATAAAATTACATATCGTGCAAGACTAGTAGCTAGTTTTAATAAAAGAGAATATATAGATTATACAGAAACTTTGGCGCCACTAATAAGACATTCTTCTTTTAAACAAAAGGTTGCTTTTTTCACTT